TAAAATAAAATAAGTGAAAATAGGTGAAAAAAAATATATATATATATATATATATATATATATATATATATGAGAAGAAAGAAATAAATAAATATAAAGGTGAAGCCCAATACCTTTAATTTCTCATCTTCTTATTTTTCTTCAATCAAATAATCTTACTTATTTTTACTCTCTTATTTCTACTCTTATCCATTTTCTCTTAACAAAATAAGCACTAAAAGTGAATTTTCCCTCTAATTTTGGCTTCCAAACAAACTTTAGTTGTATTTCTCTCCCAAGTCTTAGTTTTCATTGAATTTGAGGTTTACACGCAGCACAAAAAATAATTGGGATTCATTTACTAAAATATGTCAAATATTAAAAATATAACACCAAAAGTTAACAATTTTTTTTAGATATAAAAAGAAGCTTAAAAAGTAAATTAAATATCCTTATTTGAATTGGAAATTCATGTAAATTAGACATATAACAAAAGATTTGTAATAATTATTTTTAAAAGTTACGTATAAATATGAAGCGTTGGGATGACAATACCAACTTTTATTTTTTAAATATTTAAGATATTGTTTAAATATAAAAAATATTATTTATTGTTACGATATTGTTTGCAATAAAGATATTTATATTTATTTTAGGGATTTCTTTTGTTTTTTAATATTATTTAAATTTTAAAATATTAATTTTTGACGGAAATTTTTGTCAGAAACGGTTTTCATATATTTTCGACGAAAATGCCGTCGGAAATGTTCTAAAGAAATTTTCGACGAAATTTCTGTCGAAAATCTTTCCCAGAAATTTCTGACGGAAATTTCGTCGAAAATTTCTAGGAAAGATTTCCGACAGAAATTTCGTCGAAAATCTCCCCTAGAAATTTCTGACGGACATTTTCGTCCCACAAATTTCTGACGGAATTTTTGTCGGAAATTTCTTTAGAACATTTTCGACGGCATTTCCGTTGGAAATTTCCAACAGATAATTCCGTCAGAAATTTCAGACCGAATTTTCCGACAGAATTTGCCGTCAGAAATTTCCTACAGAAATTGATATTTCCGAAAGATTTTTTTTTTCTGACAATACTTTTTCCGACAAATTTAAATCCGTCGAAAATCCTTCAGAAATACCAAATTTCGTCAGAAATACCTTATGAATTTCCGTCAAAAATTTCCGTCAGAAATTGACAACACCCCTTAAAAAAGTAAATTAAATGTCCTTATTTGAATTAGAAATTCATGTAAATTAGACATATAACAAAAGATTTGCAATAATTATTTCTAAAAGTTACGTATAAATATGAAGCGTTGGGATAACAATACCAACTTTTATTTTTTAAATATTTAAGATATTATTTAAATATAAAAAATATTATTTATTGTTACAATATTGTTTACAATAAAAATATTTATATTTATTTTAGGGATTTCTTTTGTTTTTTAATATTATGATATTAAGTCAATAAAATTTGTGTTGAAGATTTTTAAGTTTGGCTAGAGAAACTTGTAAAGAGGGGATTCCAAGTTTTATTGACAAAACCTGTGAGAAGCTATTTCTACGTTTCATTTACAAAATTTGTGAGAAGTTTTTAAGTTTATTTCGTAAAACTTGAAGGAGATTTTTTTTATAAAAAAAAACATATATAGAATACATTTTTGTGATAATAGATATCCTTGTGAAATCAAGTTAAATAAATTTATGTAATTTCCTATTATTATGATATCATTTTTTAATGTATTTCTCATCATTTATTGTATATAAAAAAGAATATTTTTTTGTTCTAAACATTGAGAAGCAAGATGCTCACTCTAATATCTTAGTAATTACTTCTCTTGTAATATTTTTTGTAAAATATTTTTCTTGTACTTAAATTGTTTTATCACTTTTCAAAGAAATTGTTAGTCCTACCTTATAAAGTTTAAACTAAATATTTTAATTAGGAAGTTAGAAGAGGCTTTGTTTGTAAATAATACTTAAGTTATGTGAAACCTAAAGAAGCTTTGGTGAAGCTCTACATTTCATGATTTCACTAATTTTCTCATTTAACTTCTAAATTTAAACACTTTTTTTACTCAAGTTTTAAAATTTCTCATTGACTACTAACATGTGACTGTTGATATAATAAAGTAATAATATCAAATTATATTGATATAATTTTTAGTCACTTCTCAAAACAGACAATACTTATTAATCTTATCCCAAAATTACAAATTAAGTGTTTTAACTAAAAAATCCGAAGAAATTTTATTTTTAAATAATACTTGAGTTCTTTAAATATAAGGAAGCTTTGGAGAAATTCTATATTTCATAATTTCAGTAATTTTCTTACCTAGTTTCCAAATTTAAATATTTTTTCACTTAATTTTTAAAATTTCACATTGACTACAAACATGTGAGTGATGCGACTGTTAATATAATAAATTAATGAAATCAAATTATATTGGTACAATTTTTTATCCTTAATTTTTATTTTCATGGCAATTAAAATGATACTTGGAAAGTAAAAATCATTAAAATAAAATCCATTTTCCAATAAAACTCCAAGGATGAATCTCTTCCAGTCCCGGCCCCCATAGTCAACGAAACCAACGCATTCATTAATCAACACATTTAAGAACCGCAATTAATTAAATTCTTTCGTCTATTATTTAATTAATTAATTAAAAAAAATCAAAGTTGAAGAAGCCATGCAGTTAGTATTATTCTTATTTAATCCAAGCGCGCCACAGAGAGGGAGAGAGAGAGAGAGAGGCAGTTTCAAGTTTGAACAGTGACAGAGGCGCACACGTCAGGCGTTGCCCAAAAATAAAAGGCAAGAGCGGAGGAAGATTGCACACATGACAAAATTGGAAAGAGCAGGTCATGGTGCCACCTTTTCTAGGGAGAGACAAAAATTCAAAACCGATCCCATTATATTAAAGAGAGAGAAATAGAAAAGAAAGAGGGTTCGGCACAACTAACCAAACCAAGAAGAAGAAGAGAAGGAGAAGCCGGACCCCAACCGTCCGCGTTTTATCTTTCACCCTCTTCTTCCTCTTCCCTCTCTCTTCACATTTCATTAATATATTATATTATATTACCTTGCAGTTAAGTTAGGTTCAGCGTATCCATCCGAGGTAGCATAACATAATATGGGAAATTGCTGCGCGAGGCCGGGGGGCCCGCAGGAGAAGAAGAAGCGGAAGGAGAAGAAGGCGAAGGAGGAGGGGGCGGGGAGGAAGCTGGTGGTGCTGAGGGAGGCGACGGGGCGGGACATAGGGGTGCGGTACGAGGTGGGGCGGGAGCTGGGGCGGGGGGAGTTCGGGGTGACGTACCTGTGCCGCGACAGGGAGAGCGACGAGGAGTTGGCGTGCAAGAGCATATCGAAGAAGAAGCTGCGAACGGCGATCGACATAGAGGACGTCAGGAGGGAGGTTGAGATCATGAGGCGTTTGCCCAAACACCCAAACGTCGTGTCCTTGAAGGAGGCCTACGAGGACCACGACGCCGTTCACCTCGTCATGGAGCTCTGCGAGGGCGGCGAGCTCTTCGACCGCATCGTCGCGCGCGGCCACTACACCGAGCGCGCCGCCGCCGCTGTTACCAAAACCATCGTCCAAGTCGTCCAGGTCCGTCTCCAATCTTTTCGCTTTTCCATGCATCTTTTAATTAGCTCTCTTTTAATTTTGAAATTATTGAATATTGATATATTTTGTGTTGTCTTCATAATTTTAGAGACTAAAATGAGTTTAGTCGATATTAATGTTATTGGGACAAGTATTTGAGGGTATCTAATATGTTGGGAATTGGACTCGCTGGTTTAAAGTTGCGAGTGCATATGAAAAATTGAAAACTTCTATTTTTTCTTGTGTTGTGTTTTGTTTCTTTTTTGTTAGTTTCCCATTTTGTCTGAATGGTTCAGCATGACGATAATGGGATGTATATTAATAGTGGCATTTCCTTTTATTTATGATTATGAAAGATTTGTTTTGTGTACCTCATTTACCAAACCTTCTATTGATGTTTGTGGCCAGGTATAATTTGTTTCTTAGTTTTTATGAAGATTCTTTACACTTCATTGCACCTATGTGTTTGAAGTGTTCCTCTTTCTTTCTTTATTGTTGGTTATTATAAATTTGATGTTTAATAATATGATTATTTCGTATTTTGTTGTGGTTTAGATGTGCCACAAACATGGAGTGATGCATCGCGATCTCAAACCTGAGAACTTTTTGTTTGCAAACAAGAAGGAAACAGCACCCCTTAAAGCGATTGACTTTGGATTGTCAGTTTTCTTTAAACCAGGTAATGATTTAGGCTAGTAATTGAATCTCAATGTTGTTATTTGATCCTCAACTCATTGTTTTGTTGTTTCCATCCATTTACAATTAGCTGAAGTTTTCCATTTTCTGTAGGTGAAAGGTTTAATGAGATAGTTGGAAGTCCATATTACATGGCTCCCGAGGTATTAAAGCGTAATTATGGCCCAGAAGTAGATATCTGGAGTGCTGGAGTAATTCTCTACATCTTACTTTGTGGTGTCCCGCCGTTTTGGGCAGGTTAGTTTTGTATTCTGAATGCTACTGACAATAAATATTTATAATAGTAAATTAGTAATTGAAACTGTTGGTGTTGGAAGAAAAATAATGCATGTTTTTGAATTTCAGTTCAGGAAAGAAAGAATGCTCAGTTTGTTACTAAATAAATATTATTTTCTAGTAAAGGACATCTGCCTGGATTGTGAGAATAAAGACAATGTCTTGGTTACACTTTCTAATTGACCAGTGATATTGAACTAATCAGCATGATCTATCTTCTGAACATTAGGTGCTGAGATGACAATGGTATAACTAGTGATACTGGACTGATAAACATGTATCTAATGGATTGATAGATCATTAACATTTCTTTATGGTGAAATCATTTACTGTGATCTTTTTACATGGATGGAGATGTTATTTTGTGCTCATGTGATATTTGTCACGTATTGTATGTTTAATATAAGATAAAGGATGATGTTATAAATAATGTTTTGTTTGTTTTCCATTGCATTGGTGTACAATTTCTACTACATTTTTTGTTTCTTTTGTCTATACCATATATTCGATTTTCTAATTTTGTCTTAAATGCAGAAACTGAACAGGGAGTTGCTCAAGCAATTATTCGATCTGTTCTTGATTTTAGAAGGGAGCCATGGCCAAAGGTTTCTGATAATGCCAAAGACCTTGTGAAGAAAATGCTTGATCCTGACCCCAAGCGCCGGCTTACTGCCCAAGAAGTGTTAGGTATATACATGCGTTCTGTATAAAATGCTTCGGGGGGTGACGTGTAGAACTATGTGGAATGTTTTTTCCTAAGAAGATGAACAATTTTAATAAAAAATTCCAAAAGGAAAATATGAGGATGGTAATGTTGCTTGTTCATTAAATGCAGATCATCCATGGTTACAGAATGCAAACAAAGCTCCTAATGTTTCGTTGGGAGAGACTGTTAGAACAAGGCTCATGCAATTTTCTGTAATGAACAAGCTTAAGAAAAGAGCTCTGAGAGTAATGTTCTCAACAGTATTTGAATAATCTCTAAAGTGTATATATTAATTTATCTATCTCCTTTTCTGACATTGATTTTGTTCCATTGACTTTCATGTATACAGGCGATTGCAGAGCATTTGTCTATAGAAGAAGTTGCTGGGATAAAAGAAGGATTCGAGGTGATGGATACTGAAAATAATGGCAAGATTAACATTGATGAGCTTCGAGTAGGGTTGCATAAACTAGGTCACCAAATTCCTGATGAAGATGTCAAAATACTTATGGAAGCTGTGAGTATTTTCACTTTATCTGGAATCTTTTCTGTTCAACAATTGATGGGTGAAGAAATAAGTAGTTTGGTATCTTGTTTTTCAAAATTGTCATTCTAATATATCAAACTAATTGCGAACTTGGGATATGTTAATGGGTAGGGACGAGTATTTAGTTCATACATGCCAACATGGTTTTTAAGTAGGTATATGTTTGAAGTAATAAATTGTCACAAGCACACATTCTCAATCCTCTTTCCTATTTTAATTTAATAGGAAGTATTATTTGAAGTACTGTTTTAAATTATTGTTTTACATACATACCCTTAAAAACTCTCCAACTTTTAATCTTTTGGGGCTGCTTATACAGGGTGATGTAGACAAAGATGGGTACCTAGATTATGGGGAGTTTGTTGCCATTTCTATTCATCTGAGGAAGATAGGCAATGACGAGCACCTTCACAAAGCCTTCCAATTCTTTGATCAGAACCAAAGTGGATATATTGAAATTGAGGAGTTACAAAAAGCCTTAGCGGATGAGATTGAAGCAAACAGTGAAGAAGTCATCAATGCAATTATGCATGATGTGGACACAGATAAGGTCAGCATGTTTGGAACCACCCTTTGATCTTTTTGCTTTGGACTCCAGAGAAATTACTTGTAGATCTTTTGTCTCATTTGGAACCACCCTTTGACCTTTGTGTTCTTGTGATTACAGGATGGAAGAATAAGCTATGAAGAATTTGCTGCAATGATGAAGGCTGGCACAGATTGGAGGAAAGCATCAAGGCAGTATTCAAGAGAGAGGTTTAATACTTTAAGTCAGAAATTGATGAAGGACGGGTCTTTGCAACTAAACAATGACAATAGAGGGCTTTAGTGATTGCAAGTTTTACTCGTGCAAAAGCCAAAGGAGAAGTCACCCTTTGATTCTTTTTCCTTCATTGTTATTCTTTTCTCCAAATTTTCTTATTTCCTTTTGAGACACCCCTTTATCTTGGGGCGAAATAGTGTTTGGTTTTTAAGTTCTTTTGGGTTGTTGAGGGGGTTGTCATCGGAGAAAAGAGAGAATGGAGCACTGGACAAGTCTTCAAATTGTGACTGTATATATTTGCACATAGTCACATCATATCATAACCATTTTGGCATTCTTAAGTAAATCTCAATTTCTTTTTGTTGGCGAAACGTTTTTGCAAGAACCTGTGCAAAGGCACAATTTTTTTCTTAAGATTTTTAATTTTATACATGGAATAAGTAATTATAAATCATCGTAAATATTAATAATCTTATTGTATATAATAATTTATTATGAAATGATCATATTTTTTTAATATTATTAGCGTAATTAAATTAATTTTTTTAACTGGCCAAATTAATAACCTCTGAATAATAATAAGATGCTTGTATCCTTTTCGGAGTGAATCTAATCAGTTACAATCTGCTTTCATCATTAGTTCATTTTTCCATTTCTTTTCAACAAATTTATCATTTACTTTTTCTATAGGAACATATATTTGATTAAAGCATTCCAAACACCTAGATTTACAAACTCAAGAAAGATTTCTATACATATTATTTCTTATTAGTTATTATTTTTATTCATTTGCTTCAATTACAATTTGTTGTCTAGATAACGTAGGATTTTGGTTAGGAAAGATTGACTTTCGTTCGTTTTGGTTAGAGGGACTTTATTTTCAATACTAATAATAATAAAAAATTATTATTATTATTATTATTTTCA